CATGTAAAGAGGTGGTAGTTCCAATTCTCGTTTGTAGAAACGGTAGGAATGTTTCTTCCTGTCTATCGCCCTTAATTTCGCTCACCGATCCGGTTGTTGTTCCACTCTTGCTCTTATTTCTTTTAGAAAGATATTTTTGGACTCGTTTTTCCATAAATTAATTTACATAGCATCAAATTAGGTGTCGCCATCCAACCTTAGGCAGCCGCTGTTGACATTTTCCCATTTGCACCGAGAATAGTTCGCATGTAATTTGGGCAGCAACCGTTGAATGTCGAATGTATCGAATAGGATGACATTTCCGACGAGCTGTCCCATACGACTCATATTCTTAATTTGAAGGGAAGAGGGATAGGGCTCGGAGAGAGAAGTACTTCATGCATGCAAAATATATTTTTTTCATCACTTGCTTTGTTCGAGTTTGATCCTCCAGCTTGCTTTTGCCATAACGACTTTGAATGCTCTTCGAAACGTCCGTAAAGGCATATGGAAGGGCCCTACAATTCTGGTAATTTTTTTGTCGGTTTAGGAAAATCAAACGATCAACTGAGCCTCTTCAAGCTGGTTTTCAATTTCACTAACGGGAAAATCTTTTTTACGACGATGTTGACGGATGGCTGATTGGCTATATGCCTTGTTCCTTACTCATTAGGGCTGGTTTTTTTTTCGGAAAATATGAAGGGTATCGCTTCGCATTGTCGGAAATTCAGCACAGTTATCAGTCATAGCTGTCATTTTGATTTACGCAGTTGTCAATGCCTATGATGTGAATTTCCTTCCTCCAATGTCGTCCCAAAATAGGTCCGGTACAACATGACAGCCTTCCAGGAAACCTCTCTCCGCGTTAACATAGTGTTTCAATTTGATGTTGATTCTGTAGATGCAGGGGTTTTTTTTGTTCTCAGAACTGAACGGGCATTCACTCTTTCCTTTTTTTCCACAGGGAGGCATCAGGGTACGCTCAGTGGCAATTGATGATACTCGGTGTTCCGCGAATCTAATGGTGAGTGCGAAAAACAACGCTTGCAAATGGAATTCGTAGCTCCAGCATACTAATGAAATAGATGCTAATGTGTCAATAACTGAATTGATCTTTTTTGAGCAGTTACTGCTGTAAACACACATAACACAAAACATAGTTATGCAGGGCAGAATCCTTGTTGATTGAAGGGTTTTGTTTTCGCCTATAATTACTTTCTGTGCTGTAGCTATACGTACTGACTGGCTAGGGGAAAGGGATTGTAATGGGGCGCACGACAAGTCTCTGGAAGGACCGGAAAAGGAATAGGTGAAGCATCTGAAACCCCTAGATAGCGATAGTCACCGAGCATGTCAGGTCATCCCCCTTCCGCATGATTCAACTCGCTCAGTACTACTTTTTGCCATCCAAAATGTCTTGTCATGGGTTAGCGTAGGCGTAAGTTCCTTGTAAAGCCAGTGGAAATCCTCCTTCGCAATCGTTATGGATTGGCCTAGCGTTGAGCAAACCTGTGAAATAATCCTCTTTCTTTAGAGCAGGACCAAAAGCTGCCGTCTTTGTTTCTGGAATTTTTGGAAAAGAATTTAAAAAAAACTTTTTCCACCTGCAACCTTTTCTAGCCAGCTTCTTCTGGTGGCTGTCATCAACATGTAGAGCAGGAACAGAAGCCCCTCCACTCGGTAGTCAGCTCTTATGTGAGCGAAATGAGAAGTCTTTCGTTTCTGTCTGCCCGTCTTGGACACCTTCTGCTACGTGACTTGGACTGCGTCGGAACCTGATTCACTGCGCACACAAGCACATTCGTCATCGCTTTATGGGCTCATTAACGTCCCCATTTCCACCTATGCATGGTGCTATGATTCAAAGAAAGACTCATATATTCTATGCGTTTAGAGGCTGAATGTTGCCAGTTCCTGTTTGATCAAAACGGCACAATGGGGCATTGCGCTTTGGAACGGCCACAATCCTTAGATTATATCATATGACGTTCACACATTGGGGAGAACGGGTTTCCTGAATGAGCTCATCTGGCGCTGCAAGCCTTATAGGGCATAACGGTGTGGGAAGACGGGAAAGATGGGCTCTGCTAGGGTCAGAAGAAGTCAACCAGTTGCTCAGTCACTGGCCTTCATTGTGGCCTTCCTATCAGATCTCATTTTCCAATTTGATAAGCGCGTTATCATTTGGCTGTAATGCTTTCATAAATATTAGTCGCTGATCGATTCGTCGTGATAAGAGAAAAGCGAAGTTGCAGCCTAATCACCAACAATACCATAGATATGTACAAGGTGAAGCTGAAAACTCTTAGTGCTATCTATTTCGGTTAAATCTGAAACGCTGCCAACAAGGGGAAATGGATTTTCGAAACTCGAGCCGTATCACTGAGAATTTCATCAGCTTCTGTAATGATTTCCATCGGAAACGAAACCAAGTTCCTTTGTGGCAATGGGTTGTTGGAATTCCGAGGAGCTTAGTCAGTGCCAGGTTGTTCCAACATTTAGGGCAGCACTTTGGAGTGCTTTCCGGTTCTGAGGTTTTTCTTAGCTAGCAGTCCAGTTTGATTCGAACATGTCTAGGTGGCTATTAGAGTTCGAGAAGATTGCTTGCCGTCAATGTATTTCACAAAGATCTACTGATCAAACCTATGGACCAGAACTTATGGAGCTTGTGGGGCTGAGCTTTTTCTTTACAATGCCTTTATGAGAAAAAAAAACTTGGTAAGGCTGTCTCATCGGAAGCCGATGTAAAACTTTGATCATTGGAAAAGTGTCAAAAATCTCCCAAGCAATCCGTAAGGCTTCGGGTGGAATAGGAAAATTTTAGCAGATGAACCACAGCAGTGCACAATCTTTACATGCCATCAAATAGAGCCCATATGCTTCTCAGGTTTCCTCTATCAAACATTTTCTGTTATTTCCCCGTAAGTATTATTCAATTCCTGTAAATAGCAGAATTTTATTTATGCTTGCTTGTTTTCTTTTTCAGGACTTGTGTAGCTATTTATTTCTGTGTAACTTCCGTTGGTTGCTCGCTTCTGATGACTTCATCATTTCCTAGTCGCTAACAGGGTTTTCTTTTTTACCAGTTCGCAGTGACAGGGGAAAATATCGAGCTTCCCCCGGGAATACGCGAAGAACTTTTCTCTTCTGTTTCTTTATTTTTTCTCATACTTTCACTTACAAAACAGGTGCTGTATTGTAATCTCACGGTTTGGAATGAAAAGCAACAAGAAAATAAATGAATAAACTCAGTCAGTTCGATTTATTGTTTTGGTTTTGTAATGTTTGAATGTTTAGTTATGTGATACGAGGCAATGATCCAACAGCCAACATTTCACCTGTGTGGGAACCGAATGAATGGTTTTTGGGCAACTCAAAGTCGCAGTTCTTTTTCACATTTCCGTCACTACCTCTTATGGTCGCACACGCTCTCATATGGACCACCATCTATTTCTTCTTAATTAAGTAAGTAGTTTCAGATTTAATCGAAATGAAATTGCTACTTTTTGGCCTGATTATTTGAAAAACTCCTTTTTCAACTGATTTTCCTTTGAGTGAAGTAGTCTTTTGTAGGTTTTCTAGTAATATTGGGACCATACTATCTCGACTTTGTGTCTTAGCGCCATGCGCTTTGTACATATTTTTGATACTCGGCATGTCGATCAGCGGGTTTCATTTTGGAACGCCTTCAATCGAAAAAGAAATCTCTCAACAAAAACGAGACGACGATCCCTTCGACTATTGGGCGGACATCAGAGTGAGTTCATCCTAACAATTATTGGTTTCTGTGGAAGTATCTGCTGAAAGCCTCGCAAGATTGGCTAGTTATTGGCAATTCTGCCGAAAATTTCGCAGAGTCCAAAACTTCTTTGAGATTCTCCGGCAGGTTCCATGGGTTTTCTATTTATGGACACTACTTACGCCTATAACACATCCGACTACCTCTTCCTTGCTTATTTACTGACTTTATTTATTTACACATAATAGGACAGAAGTGTTTGTCCACTTTCAACACGTACTTCCTTACGAGTTCGAATAGCTAAATTCCATTAGAATTTGCGAGAAGCATTTGAACTTGAGCTCGAAAATGAACCTTGATCTGACCAACCGATTAGATTTCAGAAAATCCTTTGATCTGTTATGGTGATAGAAGATATAGTAGTGTCTATTCAAAATTTTTCTACCGAGGTTTCAAAAAATCCCAGAAAAAATATGATCGAAGAGGGAATTTTTCGGCAATACATTGTGCACAATTTAATAGTTCTTGAGATTTTTCCCTATTAAAAAATATATCGTGCGAAAGAATGAATAAGGGAAAAAAGAAAGAATGAATTTTTCTGTTTCCTGGCTGCCCAAATTACTTGTCGAAGAAGCTCTTGTTCAGTATTCACTTCACCTAGGGTTTCTACCGTACTACAATCCTCACAGTAGACTACTCGGGTGCATTCTCTGGTTTGCTTCTGTTCGCCACAAGTCGTCTACGGCCAGGAGCAAAGTCTTTGAATGCTCTTTTGCTTCTACCAATGATGATGGTAAGTCTCACCAACTACTATTTTTCTGGGTAATTTTCGGGTGACTTTGGTTTGTAAAAATTTCGGATTCCATTCTTTGAGTGATTTAGTTAGTACCCACAATGATGACGATCCTTCGAAATGGATGCGAAGGCCACGTAGCCGATCAACAGCCCGCCTATACGGTATACGCCTCAACAGGTATGTGAATAATTTCTTCTGCTTTGGATTTTTTTTTGCAGCAGCTGAAAGGATTTTCGCGAAACCTCCTATCATCGTAAGCGATTCATCGGAAGAAAATTGTGCACTAACCAATCCCCAACTTTTTCATGGCGTCATTTTCGTCCCATCAGTGATTTTTCAAAGTGAATCTGCCTGACGCTCACGATTGAATTCCCACGTACCTGCGGTAGCGCTACCTGTTTTTCCATTTGGCCTGATAGCTATTTTTCCTTTCACTACACAGGCCTGGTTCACGAAAATCGTTCGAAGTTATGGGTTTCACGAGACTATGACGACGGAAATGGTGCTGAGCGGATATGCAGGCGAGATTAACATGGTGATTGTGTGAAGGATAGGCCACAACATGCAAAAAAAAAGCCGAAAGCTTTAGCGTCGCCATGGGTCATCGTCTTTGATGGCCGGCTGTTTGAGTTTTTTGAAAAGGTGCTCTAATGTGAATGATGCAGCATCTACGAGGCCGTTGAAGCACGGACTTTCCTGGGTGTGGAATACAGTTTAAATAGTTTTTGAGACCTTACACCTGCATAAGCGATTTCTCAACGCGACAGAGCCCATATGCTCTCTATGGGGACGAATATTTGTCCCAATAGGAAATCTCAGAAACAGTTTCTATCAGGGATTGAGCCTTTAACTGGCAATGAGAGATATAGCGCACTACTTGTAGATACTTGAAGCCCATCCGAAGAAGTATGTGCTTTGAAGTCTTAACTATTCAGAATATTTAGTTTTATATTCAGCATTTGGCTCAAGGGAGTTTACCATCTGGAACCTCTTATCATAATCAATGTTTCACGTTGGCATCGCCCACATCACGCTCAATTGAATGGAGCTTCGACTCGGCCCGAAGATCTCCTTTCAGTAGTTTGGAGCCGAAAAATCAAGAGCACTGATCTATTAATCACAATAATAACTACAGTATCACTCAAAAGTTTTGGTTCATGCGTATGCGTAACTTTTTTCTTAAAGGAGCGAATCGCGACAAACTTCGGTAGTTATAACCAAAGCATATTCCACTCCATCCAACATTATTGACTGCGAAGCAGCAATATCCACATAACCAAGACCAAAGTGTTTACCGTAGAAGAGTTCGCTTTAGGCAGGGTTAGCGATGTCTGCGATTATTCGCACCTTATGTACGTTTTTCTCCTTCGCTGTGTGGAGCGTTAGTGCTCGTACACTTTAGGCATGGCCACAGGGAAAGATCTCCGGAAGAACGAATATTATCCGTATATCCACTTAATTTTGAGCTCAAACTCTTTGGGACATCTGGAACATGATCAGATTGCTGGTTAAGAGCGGTGAATATTCACGATACACCCATGCTCCCTATACTGAAACTTCGCATGCTTCAGTAGGAAAGGGGTTACTACTGAAAACTATGACTGAAAAAACATTATGCCGAAGACTTTCAAACGATACTGTATGTCCGACAGCGTTGACGCGCATAATCACCAAGGATGATGGCCTATCGTTGAACGACAGATCGTTCGAAGAAACCTATTAGCGCTGATGGAAATCCTCCTCTTTGAGTGGAAAAATATGCCCGTTTATGAAATATGAAAAGAAGACATACCTGTAAATGGATATGTAGACCTTCTAGCATGAATAGCATTTCCTAGGAAAACTCACCTAGAGTAAACCAAATGTGTTCAGATGAGACGATATCGTTCGATCTGCTTCCGGTGTGTTTCGCGACGAGCAGAGCAGGACCAATTTGGGCTATTGTCTACTACACGGCTCAGTTTTTGTACACTTCTTTAGGACCAATGGTAAAGTAGAACCTTGCACAAAATGGTATCCAACGATATCTCCAAGTTCCTTCAGATTGTCTACGTGTCTTTCATCTATCAGTCTTTCGTCGATGATGTACCAACCGTTCAAAATTTTGCTTCAATTTTCTTCGCCTTAATCGTCACCCTATTTGCCGTGCCATCAGTTTTACTTTATATGCCTGTGAGTCATTTATTACGCTATTTTTCTCTATTCAATTCGGCATTGGCCATTCTCTTTAGCCAGAATGGGAGATTGAATGAGAATTTGAATGCATCCATAGAAAGGGGAGATATGCAGAAGGGTAAGGGCATACCGAACTGTCTTTCAATGGATGCGGAAGGTGTTCCAAGTCTTGAAAATGTCGACAGATATGGATAGATTTTAATTATAAGTTGTAAGTTGGCCCGTAAGGGGTTCCATAAATCCAGGTTTATAAAAAATAGAGGGGGTGAATTCGATAGGAACTGAAAAAAAAATTTTTTTTTGTTATCTGTTTGTGTTATTAATGCTTCCTTTTTGGAAGCGACTCTATCATTGAGCAGATCATTAAATAATTATGGGAACCCTTTTTCCTTAGAACTCTCTCTCTGTTTCCTGTTTCCTTTCCATACTTCACTTCCCTATAGCCCTTTTTCCGGCAAAATACTCCCACTATTGTCGTATCTACATTATTTTCTTTTCATGCTGTTCTTTTTTTCTTTATTTATTTCATCCGTCATTTTCAGTTGGGTACGAAAGTCACTACGCTGTTCCGTTACACGTCACAATCGTCGATCGTTCAGATATTGTGCTATATCCTCATCTACTTTGTTTACGGTAATGGTCTCTCCTGTTTCCAGTCATTTTTCATTTTCTATTGATATTCCTCTTCTCCTTATACTCTATGAGACAAATGAAAATGTTTTAACTGTATAGGTTGGCAAACTATCGAATCAGATATTCTGACGACGTCAACCGATGCGAGTACTGTATCACTGTTACAGTACCTTATCCGCCCTACCAGTCCCATATACACCGTGCTGATGTTCACGCTAGTTCCAGCTCTGCTGTGTGTAAGTTCACTTTTCTTTCTGCTTCATATATATGTATACTTTACCATGTGGGAGCAAATGAAGCACACAATTGGTTTTGTGTCCATGCGGAACCTTACCACCCATAACAAAAGTGCCAACTGCCTGTTTGCTCATGGGCACTAGGCCCAATAACTTGTTTTCGCATGTAGGGATTATATGAATGAAAGAGAAGAGGGAAAATGGAAGTGAAAGCATCACGGAGGGTTCCGCGACTAAAGGCCCTGTAGAATCTACGTCCAGGTATGCTTCCAAGTGCCTAACACCTATAGATAGACGGTCAGAGAGGAAGTTTGTTCTGCTTTTTGTCGTATCGTATACGCCATCGCTGCATCTCTGCCTCAGAAAGTTATAGCGTAGGCCAAAAGCAGTCTCTATAATTCAATCAATTCCACAAACTAACGCCAGATTGTAGGCCCAGTTTAGGATATCATTGCCATCTCATTCTGCTCTTTCGACACGGATGAGGCCCCTGCAAAGCTATCTTATGCAGTACAGAATGTAAGATGACCTCTTCTACACAAACGGGGTGACCTGGAGCTCATCTTTTTGTTGTACTCATATGACATCATCTATCTGATGGATTTGGTTCTGCTCGATTTTCGATTTCATATGTCCTCACAAACTTCAATGGCTGGCCCTTGTCACACGATCCCTCATGTTCGCCCAAATACTTGTTCACCACTGGAGAGCAGGAAGTTGGCAATTACCGCTCTAGCAATGCTCCAAGACGAGAAAATTTGTTCAGGAAAAAGGAATTATTAGAGGGATAACAGCCTAGTGAACACGTCCTTTCGTTTAAGCAGAAACAGGCGTCTTGAAGTGCTGACCAAGAGAAAAGGGTAAGGTCTGAAAGTAGAGGGAAAGGACTGCAGTTAGTTTCGATTGAATACATTATGAAGAGGAAGGGGAAGAGGATAGTTAGCCGATTCCTCTGACGGGGCACCACTGCTAACACTGTAGGAGGAAAGGTGGAAACACTCTTCTGTCAGCGCTCTCCCCATTCAAAAAGTCACCAAGTTTAAATTTCTTGAAGAGACTCACAGATTGTGTATAGCGATGTTTTCCTTTTCCTGTGCTGCTTCCAGGTTTACCTAATACTCGGAAGCTGGGCATGATCTGAATTGAACCCGAGTCCATTCTAAATGACCTTTGTTCAGAGGTGTCAGCTTTGTGAACTCTAGGAGTTTGTAGCTCAAAGGGCTCTGGACAGTACTTTGCGTAACTTGGGAGCTTTTAAATAGGGTTTATAGAATACTACCTTGGCCGCATAAATAAAGAGTCAAACTTCCAAGCCAGGAATATGGAGAAACAGCTCCTTGACAGCAAGGTTTCCGACTGCTAAGAGATAACAGCTGCCTTCATTAAATAGTTTATAATCGTACTGACAATCAGGGTTAATCTCGCCGTGTTAATGGATACACCAAGCATCCACACCTGCATCCCACCTGGTTACCCAACCAACCTTTCGTGATGAAGCAAGACGGGAACAAACCGTCGTTTGACTGGCCAACGCTGCAGGATAATCCTACGAGTGACAATGACAGCAGAATTCATACAGTATTCAGCAGCAGACATACCTCTATCTTTTTATCAGTAAACAATTTCGTAAACAATATTGCAAACAAGGATGCCTGCAAAGAATGGCTTTCGAAAAAGTTTTGACGGGAACATCTCTACTCCTTGATTTCCAGTTGCAAACATCGCGGGTAATACCATCTTGGGTCATTTTCGCTTTTATGCTATCGAACTAGCAGCAAATGAGCGAGTAAACAAATAAATAAACAGGGATATACTACATAGTAAGCGAGTGGATGAGTATTTTATCAATGAGAGAGCACTTGGGAAAAAATTTTCATAGGCGAAAGGTTGTTAGATCTTTAGATATGCATTAAGTTCCGTTTCTTGTACATAGGTATCCACTGGAGTTTTATATTTCAATTTTATGAATTTGGTATTTATTGATTTATTTCTTGGTGTTGTTTTATTAAAACTTTGAACGGTCTTTGTGGTGTTGGTATTTTTTGAAAGGCCCCTCATTGTGTTCATCCCTTTCGAAAAATATGATCATGACATGCTGTGCTTCATAAATCCTTTGTGTTAATCTCCCTTATCCATCAAACTTGAACGGGCTCCATGGTTCACGAGTCATCAGCGTTGTCTTCTCTGATGGCTGACCACAATTCACTTTGATTTTTGAACGTTATAACCAACCAGTTGGGCTACGCACGCGAATGCGTGCACCACATTACCTAGGACTTGTTGGAGGACCAATACGAACAGTACCGCTTGATTTCCCATTTCATAACTTCGTTGTAACTGCGAAACTTTCAAAAGGACGCAAAAACGGGCATACAAACAGGCGCACAAAGCTACCACTTTATATATAGAGACAGTCGGATCGCCCGGCTAATGCCGGGCTCTTCTCCTTCTCTAAGTTCCAGTAATCGGCAACCGCCCCATCCTCCCTCCAATTTTCGAGACGAATGATACTCTTCTGAACACGAAATCCGACACACTCTACACAACATTGAGACAGGAACCAAAAAGAGGGGAACTGGCATAAGCAGGGCAGCTCTAGTGGAATTTAGGGTGTGCCTATGCTTACGCCTACGCTTAAAGTGTCAATCGGTTGCTCTTTATCTTGGAAGTAATGAACAATTAAAGTTTCAATGATAGGCAACTGAAGAATTGAGTAGTACTCAAAAATGCTCCCAAGTGTTAATAGCATCATTATCAGATGTCCTTATCATTGAACCTTCTTTCCTCCACGGATACATCAATAGTTGAAAATCTCAAATTATTTGAGGTCGGATGAGCTTTGTCGTAAATGATATCAAAACAAACCTTGATCTTCTACTGAGTTACAAACTTGCTGGGTAGCGGTCGTAATCTAGTCGTAATCATAAATAAATCGTGAATACCACAGGAGTAAAGTTCAGTTGGTAAGTGCTCTTATCAGTCGTTATCAGCTGTTATTAGTTCCTATCATCGGTCGTATACGATCCCGCCATCCTCCACATCACATGTCCAATTGTAAAGGCTCCACTATTAATACCATTATTAGTATAGTGGCTTTACGTTTTCTGGGATTTTCATTAGCCCTTATCAGTTTTATCAGCTCCTGGTTCGGCAATAACCGTTCTTGATCCCGTTACCAAACACCTAGATCCTGCCACATCTTGATTACCCTACTAAAGTTCCAAGATTCCATTATTAACAGAAAGTGCGTAACAAATCTAGTAGCTCTCGCCTTCTATGGTTTCTTATCAGTCCCGATCACTTGCTATCATTCCCTGTCACCAATCATTGACGGTTCCA